CTGAGTATGTGGCCTCAAAGGATGGAGGCTCCTGCACCTGAGGTCACTCCAGAGCCGGTTGTATATATCTCCCCATGAATGCTTAGTTGACTCCTTAAAACACTATGTACAGGGCCCGGCACGGTTTTTTCTTTAAAAGATTTATTTTTATTGGAAAGGCGGATATACAGAGAGGAGAGACAGGAAGATCTTCCGTCTGATGATTCACTCCCCAAGTGAGCGCAACGGAGCCAGGAGCCTCTTCTGGGTCTCCCACGCGGGTGCAGGGTCCCAAGGCTTTGGGCCGTCCTCGACTGCTTTCCCAGGCCACAGGCAGGGAGCTGGAAGGGAAGCGGGGCTGCCGGGATTAGAACCGGCGCCCATATGGGATCCCGGGCGTGCAAGGCGAGGACCTTTAACCACTTGCGCCACCACGCCGGGCCCCCGGCACGGTTTTAAAACACTCTGTACAGGGCCCAGCATGGTAGCCTACTGGCTAAAGTCCTTGCCTTGCATGTGCTGGGATCCCATATGGGCGCTGGTTTGTATCCCGGCTGCTCCACTTCCCATCCAGTTCCCTGACTGTGGCCTGGGAAAGCAGTCAAGGATGGCCCAAAACCTTTGGATCCTGTACTCACAGGGGAGACCTGGGGGAAGCTCCTGGCTCCTGGCTTTGGGTCAGCTCAGACTCAGTCACTTGGGTCAGCTCAGCCTCGACTACTTGGGGCATGAATCAGTGAATGAATGATCTCTGCCTCTCTTCTCTGTAAATCTGCCTTTCCAATAAAGTAAGTAAATCTTAAAAAAAAAAAAAAGCACTGTACGACAAACTGGAATATCTAGATACAATGTTTCCAGAGTTTTGTGAGCCATCATAACAAATTAATTGAATCTAAGAAAACTCCATGTTGCCAGCTGGTCAGAAAACACTTAGAACTGGTCTCTTACATGTATGAGAGCTAAATGGGATTGGGACAGACTGAATAAATCTGCTGTACATACTGGTATGCACTGGAACCATGGTAGGGGCAGGCCTGGTGGGGGTTATAGGGAGTCGCCCTGACTAGGCTGCAGCTCCCACTGGTTTACATGAGGGCCGAGTATGAAGTGGACAGGATCGGGCTGGACTACAACACCCATTGGTTCACGTGCAAGACAAGGCTGGAAACAGAACTGACCCAGCAACTGAAACGACCAGCATGTGCATAAGCTGATTGGGATGATGGACTGTGTCAGACTCTATACCGGCAAGCACACTCAAGAATCACTTCTGAGGGCCCGGCACGGTGGCGCAGTGGTTAAGGTCCTCGCCTTGCACACCCGGGATCCCATATGGGAGCCAGTTCTAATCCTGGCAGCCCCATTTCCCATCCAGCTCCCTGCCTGTGGCCCAGGAAAGCAGTTGAGGACGGCCCAAAGCTTTGGGACCCTGCACCCGTGTGGGAGACCCAGAAGAGGCTCCTGGCTTCGGACATCGACCGTTGCGCTCACTTGGGGAGTGAATCATTGGACAGAAGATCTTCCTCTCTGTCTCTCCTCTTTGTATATCCGCCTTTCCAATAAAAAATAATAATAATAATAAAAATAAATCTTTAAAAAAAAAAAGAATCAGATCTGGGATCACCTCAGACAAAGTTTCTTTGGAGATCCCTCCAACTGAACTGCTGATCTCAGAACCCCAACCATGAAGAGACTATGTCAGCCAGTGGATTCTGAAAAGATTTCATCGCAATTGGAACGGCGAGATTGACAGCAATTCAGAACTGTTGAACTATCAAAACTGCTTGAACAGGACCCTCAGAGCATGGCCCACATTGGGGACAGGGCGGAGGGGTGGGAGGCTGGGTCATGCTTCTCCCTTTGTTTCTCCCGACCCCAGATACAGGGGAAAAAATTATGATATTAGTGTGGGGAAAAAAAATCTACCATTAAATTGAGATTTATAAGCGCTTTAGTAATCACACACACACACACACACACACACACAAACTGTACTCAGAAGTATTTAACAATTAAAAAGAATTATGTAAGAAAAAAAAGGTGGTCTCTTATGGGGCCAGATATGTGGGACAGAGCCCCTACCTGTGGGATGGTCCGATGCTACCTTCCACGAGGTGTGATAATTGAATTAAGGAGCAGCTACTTGGTCTCCATGGCAGAGAAGCCAGCCTGCTTGCTCAGAGGAACAACTTCCTACACCTTGTGAGATCACAAATGTTACCTGTTATAATATAGCTATGAATATTTGTTTATTTCAATTTAACAAGTCTATGCATATGTGGGAGCAGGAGGTATGGAGAGAATTTTCATATTACCTCTTCAATTTTATTGGGAACTTAAAACTTCACTAAACAAAGTTTACCCCTTTTAAGATTTATTTATTTTTACTTGGAAGTCAGAATTACAGTAAAAGAGGGAGAGACACAAAGATCTTCTGTCCACTGATTCACTTCACAAATGGCAGCATTGGCAAGAGCTGAGCTGGTCTGAAGCTGGAGCTCAGAGTTTTTTCTGGACCCCCTTAGACAATTTTTTGAAAGTTCATTTTTGGTGCCTGGTACAGTAGCCTAGTGGCTAAAGTCCTCACCTTGCATGTGCCAGGATCCCGGATGAGGCTGGTTCATGTGTTGGCTGCTCCACTTCCTTCCAGCTCCCTGATTGTGGCCTGGGAAAGTAGTCAAAGATGGCCCAAAACCCTGGGACCCTGCACCTGTGTGGGAGACCCTTAAGAAGCTCCTGGCTTCGGATTGGCTCAGCTCTGGCCATTGAGGCTACCTTGGAAGTGAACTAGCACATGGAAGCTCTTTCTCTTCCTCTGTTTCCTTTCTGTAAATCTACTTTCTCAATAAAAATAACTAAATCTTTTTATAAGGAATTTTAGAAGATACTATATAATGGACAATTATGTGATTTTCCCCCCATTTTTTCTATACTACTTTAGAAAACTTATTTAAAGATATACTTATTTTAAAGTCAAAATTGCAGAAAGAGGGAGGGGTCTTCCATTCACTGGTTCACTACCCAAATGGCCACAACAGACAGGGCTGGCACAAGGTCGAAGCCAAAAGCTTCATCTAGATCTTCCACATGGGTGGCAGGAACCCAGACACTTGGTTTCCCAGCCCATTAGCAGGAAGACAGGTCAGAAGTGTAGCAGCCGGGATGTGAACCAGTGCCCGTATGGGATAGTGGGCTGCAGATGGTAGCTTAACCTACTGTACCACAAAGCCAGCCCTACTTATTTATTTTTATTAACCATAAAGACAGAGCTCTTGCATCTGCTGATTCATTCTTCAAATGCCAATGACAACCAGAGCTGGACCATGCTGAAGCCAGGAGCTCAAACTGCAATCCAGATCTCTTATACAGCTGACAGGAACCAAGGTAGTTGAGCCATCATTTACTGCCGCCTATCGTCTGCATTAGCTGGGAATTGAAATTGGAAGTAGAGCTGGCATGGGATGTGGGTGACCTAAGCTGCATCCTAGCCACTATTTCAGACACCTGTCCCTTTCTATAAACTGCAGTAATGACAAGTTCTCTCATTTTATTGATTTTTTTTAAACATGAGCCTAAGTAGGTTATGGTAAACATGAGATGTTCCAGTCCACCTTGGATTTGGATATGACAGTATGCTACCCACAGAAAGGCCTGATTAGTAGAAGACTCTGCTGCAACATCTCCCTTTCTGGTTGTGTCCACTGAACTGACTTTAATTTATCTTCTAAGGCTTTGAAGTTGGAAAGAAAGGCGGATATACAGAGGGAAGGAGGGACCGAGAGAAAGATCTTCCATCCGATGGTTCACTCCCCAAGTGAGCGCAACGGCTGGAGCTGAGCCAATCCAAAGCCAGGAGCCAAGAGCCAGGAGCTCCTCTGGGTCTCCCACAGGGGTGCAGAGTCCCAAAGCCTTGGGCTGTCCTCGACAGCATTCCCAGGCCACAAGCGGGGAGCCAGACGGGAAGCGGGGCCGCCGATATTAGAATCGGTGCCCATATGGGATCCTGGTGCATTCAAGGCAAGGACCTTAACCATTATGCTACTGCACTAGGCCCAGTGGTGCTGTTTCTAAAGGAACTGGACACAAAGAAAAATCTGCCACATTTCTTGGGGATGAGACAGACTCTACCTGCCATTATTGCAACAGTACCAATCAGCAAGTGATATCTATTATGTTGGTGATGTCTTTGGGAGTGAACTCTCCTAAACTGTTTTTCATCTTTACCATGACATTCTGGCACTCATATAAAAGAACATAATCTCATCTTTAAATTGACTTTATTATTTCAACTTCATAGACTTTCTAAACAAGTAAATTTTGAAATTGTATCATCAGTATTAAAGAAAAAAAAGTCTAGGTTCTTTCACCAATTATGGAATAGTGCCAATAAAACAGCCTCTCTACTGGCACTGGAGTCACCAGGTAAGATAGTTGCTACTTGCATTAATTTAGGACAGTTCATTCAAAAGTCTCATGAAATTTCTTCCATAGTCTAAGTAAAACTTTGCTGTAACTTGAGTCAATGAGATAATGTGGCAGGGATGCAAAGGGATAGGAAATGGTAAAATAACATGACACTAACCCTGAGGACACACTCTGTAGTTGACCAGCAATTGTGTACAAAGGAAGGGGGAAGGCCAGCAGGAAGGAAGGGTGAAATCTGCAGAGTAAAATGTTCCCATTAACTTGTACCTTTGAGAGTGGAATCTTTCTAAATATCGCTAGGTCAATTTTATAGGAATCAGTTACTACAACATATGCAAAAATATTAACTTGCTCTTGTTACACATAAACCTATAAACGTATAATCTGCTGACTTGAAATCTCGGTCCCAAGTTTCTGTACTGTCTGGAAATACATACTCACGTGTTCATCATGTCAAAGCCTCTGAGAAGTTCTGTTTACAGAGGATGCTGTTTAACTTTGGTGCCACAGTGTCACCTCGAATGACATTACTGCTGTACAAAGCTGATGTCAAGGAAAACAGTGGAGGGGGACGTGGTCCCCAAGAATTCTCAGGGTTGGTCAGAGTAACTTTCCCTAAAATGCTGGTTGCCCATGTGTCTGCTCTGACGTTCCACTAGGACAGGACACCTCCTCAAGCCCGTTTGTGGTGGTACTTCTGATGTTGAAAAAGACCTGACTTCTGCTTGAAGGCCTGTCCACATTTGCTGCACTCATAGGGCTTCTCCTTATTGTGGATTCTTACATGCTGGGAGAGGTGTGAGTTTAGTCGGAAGGCTTTCTGGCATATGGTGCACTTGAAAGGTTTTTCTCCAGTGTGAATCCTATGGTGTCGAATGAGATCAGAGGTCAAACTGAAAGCTTTCCCACACTCGTTACACTGGTGGCTTTTGGCGTGACTGTGGGTTCTCTGATGGTGAGTGAGGAGCAGGGCCTGGCTGAAGGTTTTTCCGCACTCCTTGCACTCACAGGGCTCCTCCTGACTGTGAATTCTCTGGTGTCGGTTAAGGTGAGAGCTGCGCCGAAAGTTCTTTCCACAGTGGATACAGAGATAAGGCTTCTCTCCAGTATGGATTCTGAGATGTTCCAAAAGACCCGCGTTCTGGCTGAAGACATTTCCACACTCCTTGCACTGATAGGGTTTCTCACCAAGATGGATTTTCTGATGTCTGACAAGGTGAGAACTCCTCTGAAAAACTTTTCCACACTGCTGACACTGGTGACTTTTCTTTCCCGAAAGGATTTTCTGATGTCCACTAGGACTAGAACTCTGACAAACTTGAGACTCACACAGCTTTTCTCCCATGGGAGCACTCTCGTGTTCAGTCATATCCAAACGCTGCTGGGCGGACGCTTCCCCACATCCTGAGATCTGATGGTCGGCCTTCTCCTTAGGCTGGGCTTGTTGCCTTTCCAAGTTAGAGTCCTCATCACGAGCTTCAGTGGGCTTGGATGTTTTCCCAGAAGATTCAATTCTTCTACCAGAGTCTGTCACTATAATAAGTTCCCCATTGTCAATCATTGTCTCTGGACCTGAAACATTAAATATATACCACCAATGACTTACTTTCTGGTTCCTGAGGACAGGAATCTAAAATTAGGAGGGGTATATTTAAATCAAGCCGTGTGGTACAACATAAAAAATGTTGTGGTGGTTAGTATTTATGTTAATCATGATTGAAAGCTAAAAAGTAAAAGTGAACATGAAGGGAGTAGTAAGAAGGCTTTAGAGAAAGTCAAGTCACATACAGGGAGTGGGGAGATTAAGTAAGGCACTGTGTGTAAAAGCCCTCTGCAACAGAATGAAGAAGACAAAATGCAGGGAGGGAGGAAGCGAAATGGAAAGGAACAGATTTTTCCAGCACTAACATAATGCCATGTTTAAATAAGAGAGAGGGATGGAAACCAAAAAGAACTTAAACTTTGAATATAAAACAACATTTTTAATAACATAAGAAGGTAAAGGATACTTTAAAAATTATACTACATTGCATTACTTTTGGTATTTAAAGTACATTCCTATAATTAATTATATGCCATAAATTCATTTCTTTCTTCTTTCTTTTTATTTGCGCAGAGATGCGCTGTGCCTCACATTAATTTATTTCTGCAATGTTATTTAAGAAAAGAGGGGTTGCTTTTCTTTCATCAATTTTACACAGAAGGCTTCCAGAAGGAGAGAAACCTTAGAGGGAAGAGTAAATCATACATAACGGATGGCTTTACATACAAAATCAGCCACTAACTCAAGACAAGTTATTGAGTGTCTATTTTAAGCCAGGGATTACAGCAAGCTCAGGAAGCTAAACAAAGCCTCTGACCTCTTAATCTGGCAGGGAAATCAAACAAAGTAAACCATAAATTATGATAAAATGTGATCAGTTCTGTGACAGAAGAGATCTTTGACCTACAGCAGCAAAAGTTGGTTAAGACTTGGGACACTGAGACAAGGATAGACAAAGTGATATCTAAGATTGACCATAACCAATGAGCAGGAGTTAGGATGAATGAAGAAAACGTGTTCCAGTTAGAAGAAAGAAGGCAGGAGAGACTCAGAAGGAACAGCAAGGAGAAAATAGTAAATGGGAAGGGGCTCAGCATAGTGGGAACACTCAATGTGAGCAGGTGGGCACGGGGTGAGTAACTAATGAAATTGTCTAGAATTCAGAAATTTCCCAGGATGTAGAATCATCAATGGTAAAACCTCAAGAAAATTAGACTAAGTTGATGGTGTTGCTAGACATGAGACCGAGAGGGGAGCCTTCAGATGTGTTGGGATGTGCCATTACAGCCTTTCGTTCACGGGCACTGGGAGTCATGGCAAGTGCTGACTTGTTTCCTCTCTTTTCTTTTTTTATAATCAAAGTACTCAAATACTGAACAAGTTGAAAGAATAACAGAATAACAGCCCCCAGATCATGAAAAGAGAGTTTTAAGGAGGGGGGGAAGGCATTATTAAATCTGTTTTACTGATGCAGAATGAACAGGAGGTAAACTACTTTTATTGGAAATATCAAGATGACTCAAAGCCAAATAACAAAAAAGGGAAGCAAGGATTAGATTGGACTAAAAAAAAAATAATATACATATATCAGAAATATAGATGTTAGTTATAATATATATATACACCAGAAATTAGAGAGACGGATTTCAGCAACACAGTCCAATAGCAACCATCAAAAAAATCCAGGTATCATTCAGAAATGAAAGGCAGTGCAATTTATAATAACTTGAAGGGGATAAGAAAAGAATGAATGGTCCCAGCACGATGGCCTAGTGGCTAAAGTCCTCACCTTGAACACACCCGGCATCCCATATGGGCACCAGTTCTAATCCCAGCAGCTCCACTTCCCATCCAGCTCCCTGCTTGTGGCCTGGGAAAGCAGTTGAGGACGGCCCAAAGCCTTGGGACCCTGCACCCGTGTGGGAGACCTAGAGGAAGTTCCTGGCTCCTAGCTTTGGATCGGCGTAACACTAGCCATTGTGGTCACTTGGGGAGTCAATCATCAAACGGAAGATCTTCCCCTCTGTCTCTCCTCCTCTTTGTACATCTGACTTTGTAATAAAAATAAATAAATCTTTTTAAAAAAAGAAAAGAATGAATAATGAAATGCCTGAGTGGGATTATTCACCTTGGATGAGAAACTAGGATTACATTCTTTATTTACTCCAACATTTAGAAAAGAAAGAACGAGGTAACATTTCAGTTTCCCTTCTAGCTTTTCCTTGTGTTTCGTTCAACTAACATGTTTAGGGTAATGAAAATCTTTTATATCCTAATGGTATTGCAGACTGAACAGTCATAGTCATTTTATGCTTGTGAAAACTCACTGTCCTGTACACTTACAAAGAGTTCATTTTACTGTATGTAAGTTACACTTCCAAAAACACGATTCACAACAAGAGCAAGACACGGTGCTGAGTAGGGTCTCAAAGGAAACTGCACACTGCTCTACATCTCGCATGCAGAAAAGATACAATTCAACTCTTACCCTTCTCCTTCTTGGGCTTTGGAGCTTCACGCTCGGGCTGCACCTGCCACTCCTGTACTGAAGTTACAGGAGCTGCCTCCTCCGCAACTATTTTCTGTTTCTTTGTGTGGTCTGGAACCTAGGCACAATCAGGTACGTACAGGGATAATTAAACTGGTTATGAAACTGCTGTTCAGAAAAAAACATTTCAATCTTAGAAGAGGAAACAAAGAGACATTCCAGAGGGGCACAGGCAAGAGGGTGGGAATCTGGATGCAATGTCTTCCCAGTCCAAAGCAGGTAAGACTGAGTTAAGACCTACAGAGATGAACACGCATTCTAGAAAGACACTGGAGCAAAGCTTAGTGAGTTTCCTGTCACTGCTAAGCTCATGTCCACCTACCCAGTCAGAAGCTTAACTTTTGTCTCCCTGGAAAAAGAACACATCTGCCCCTTACCACCTGTCGTCCTGTTTTGCCACGTTCCAGTTGCAAATCCTCCAGCACAACAACCATGTCCTCCCCGCTCTCTGCCTGATGCTCCTGCACGTGGGCCTGCAGTTCCTTGGGTAGAATGGCCAGGAACTGCTCAAGCACCAGCAGCTCCAGGATCTGCTCCTTGCTGTGGGTCTCAGGCCGCAGCCACCGTCGGCAGAGCTCCCGGAGCCGGCTCAGCGCTTCCCGAGGTCCTGCAGTCTCTTCATAACGCAGCTGTCTGAATTGTCTGCACAACAGCTCTGGTTTGAGGCCTCTGCTATTTCCTTGTGGCTTGAATCCTTGTTCCTGGGTGGAGTTATGCTCCTCCCTCACTGCCTGAAGCCCCTCCTTCTTCAGGTTCAGAGGCACCAGGGACAGGGCACTCGCCAATGCTGTTGCCATTCTCAGCCTCAGTTTGCGTTCTGTTTGGGAGAACAGTCTTGTTTCTGTATCCTCAGGGTTCCTCCTAAAAACGTAAGGTCAAGAATCGGAGAACAGAAACAGCAACAACAGTGACCATGGCAAAAAGCCCCTCTTGGTTTTTCACATTCTCCACAGTCTCCTTTGGTTCTCTCTCCCTCTGAAACAATCATTCCTAAACACAGACACACAATAAGAAAACTCAGTTTTACTGATGATTCCCAGCTAACAAGGCAGGAAAGATGAATGTGAAAACTCATCATTTTGCAGTCCTTGAAATAAATGAGTCAAAGGCCATACGTGATTACTAACACCACTGAGTTAGAGAAGGGGAACAAAATTTTCTTTTTTTTTGAAAAGCAAAGTTATAAAGAAAGAAGGAGAGCCAGAGAGATCTTTCATCTGCTGGTTCATTGCCTAAATGGCCACAATGACCAGAGCTCACTAGTCTGAAGCCAGGAGCCAGGAGCTTCTTTTGGATCCTTCACATGGGTGCAGGGGCTCACTTACAATAGGCATAAACTCCTCAAAACAATTAATTTCATAAAAACAAAAGGAAGACGCGGGAAAGTTTCTATTCTAGATTTAAGAGACACCCAACACAAAGTGTGAAATCTGGGTCTTACATTTAAAAAAAAAGGAACAAGTATTTTTGAAGAATTTAGAAACATGCAAATGAATAATGTGAATGAGAGAAACAATCCACAGTGCAGCAGACTCAGTTAAGCCCAAAGCCTGATGTTTTCTATTCATTTTCAGGAATCTAGCTAGTCCCATTCATTAAATAACATACATCTGCTTTACACGGTAATCCACAGGTGACTGGTGTCCATGAGAGCATTTACAGAACCATTCTGCATGCTGCCTTTACAGAAAAAGGTTGCCAACTCCTGTTAGGCAATCTCCTCAGGTGGGACAATGGTGCTAGGTCATGAGAGAACACATTTATAACCTCATCAGATGCATGAAAAAAATTATTCTCAAGTGTATTGGGGAGGAGGGAAATGGGTAGAGGTGAAGAGAGTACATGAGGTATGGCTACCACAGGATGGTATGAATTGTTCTTACAACTTCTAAGATTTTAAATTCTCAAAACATTAAGAAAAAAAGAAATGTAACCACTTATACATTCATTAAAGCAGGGATCAAAATTAACTAAAAGAATGTAAAACTATTCATTAATTTCCCTGCTTAAGAAAAAAAAAAAAAAGGCCCAGCAGTGTTTAGCCTAGCCGCTAAAGTCCTCACCTTGAATGCGCTGGGATCCCAGATGGGCTCCGGTTTTAATCCCAGCAGCCCCACTTCCCATCCAGCTCCCTGCTAGTGGCCTGGGAAAGCAGTCGAGGACGGCCCAAAGCTTTGGGACCCTGCCCCCGCGTGGGAGACCCAGAAGAGGTTCCTGGTTCCCGGCTTCGAATCAGCATAGCATTAGCCGTTGTGGTTACTTGGGGAGTGAATCATCGGACGGAAGATTTTGCTGTCTATCTCTCCTCCTCTCTGTATATCTGACTTTGTAATAAAAATAAATACATCTTTTTTTAAAAAAAAAAAACAACCTTAATTAAATATGCATCTGCAGTTCAGAGGTTCAAGTGTCACATCAAGGTATGCCCAGGCGGCTGGCAGAGTGCAGAGCTACCTTTGCAGCACGTCACCGCCAACAGCAGGTGTAGGCCTGCTGAGTCTCAGTTCAGAACAGTGGTACATTCCGCCTACCAGGTAGCTCTATCTGGTAATGGTGAGAGAAGCCTCGTGAGAGGGCGAGAGATGCACAAGTATGCAGCATCCAGAGGACACGCAGGATGACTTCTATTTTTATGATTATTTTTAAATTTAAATTAAAAAAAATTTCAAAGATTTATTTTTATTTTTATTGGAAAGGCGGATATACAGAGAGGAGAGACAGAGAGGAAGATCTTCCATCCGATGATTCACTCCCCAAGTGAGCACAACGGCCGATACTATGCCGATCCGAAGCCAGGAGCCTCTTCTGGATCTCCCATGTGGGTCCAGGGTCCCAAAGCCTTGGACCGTCCTCGACTGCTTTCCCGGGCCACAGGCAGGGAGCTGGATGGGAAGCGGGGCTGCTGGGAGTAGTACCAGCGCCCAATTGGGATTCCGGGCGTGCAAGACGAGGACCTTAACCACTGCGCCACCGCACCGGGCCCCCAAACATTTTTTAATATTTATTTATTTTTATTAGAAAGGCAGATGAGATTTATGCAGAGAAGGAGAGACAGAGAGATTTTCCATCTGCTTATATACTGTCCAAGTGGCCACAACGGCCAGGACTGAGCTGATCTGAAGCTAGGAGCTAGGAGTTTCTTCCAGGTCTCCCATGTGGGTGCATCCCATCCAGCTCCCTGTTTATGGCCTAGGAATGCAGCAAAGGGTGGCCCAAGGACTTGGGACCCTGCAGGCTTACTTCTGTGAATATAGAGTGGTAAAAGTTTGTGGGCCTTGGAGAGACATGGGCTCTCCCAAACCTGTCATTTACAGGCTGTGCAACCCAAGGCAAATTACTGACTTCATAGACTCATTTGTAAAATAAAGATAACAGCTAATTCACAGAAGTTTTACAATAGATTAAATAATAGGTGTAAAAACAGAAGGAATTCATTAATTTGTAAGTACAATTTAAGAAAACAACATTCGGGCCTGGCGCAGTAGCCTAGTGGCTAAAGTCTGGTTCTAATCCTGGCAGTCCTGCTTCCCATCCAGCTCCCTGTTTGTGGCCTGGGAAAGCAGTCGAGGACGGCCCAAAGCCTTGGGACCCTGCAACCCTTGTGGGAGACCAGGAAGAGACTCCAGGCTCCTAGCTTCGAATCAGCTCAGCTCCAGCTGCCCGGGGATTTCATCAGCAGAGGAAACATCTTCCTCTCTGTCTCATCTGACTTTCCAATAAAAATTTTAAAATACATCTAAAAAACAAATAAATCTAAAAAACAAGACAGCACTCAAGAATGTGAAACGTTCTAAAAAAGTGGATTAATTGAAGACCCACTGTATTCCAAAGCATGGATACCATTAGCGATCTCTGTGGAGACAGTTTGTGAATGGGATGAGGGCAACAGCCAGGTTGACAGCAGAAAACCCGAGTGAGGAAAGATTACTCTCAAAGTAAGATGCCAAACAGAAGGAGAGAGGTGGGAAGAGATAAGATAAAGACCACAAGTTGAAGGGGTAGCCTAGGGAACTCTCCCCACAAGCTCGCCCTGCAGCTTTTACTCTCAGTGAAAATACTGCCAGCATTGATGCTGACATGTCTTCAGGGTCACCAAGAGATTACCGTGGAATGTGAGAGAGGAGAGAGACTGGACCTCCAAGTGTGCAAACTCTTTGAGCTCGCTCTCTCTACGGCTTGACTCTGTCAACAGTGAACTTCGTCAAACAGCATGGCTGTATGGCTTTTGTTTTGCTAACCACAGACTTGGTCGTGCAGCACCAACCTTGGGAAGCTTCCGTTCCAAGACTCCCAGTTCACATACTTCTTGTTCCACCTCAGGCTGCATAAATCTTCTGATGGCCTTCAGCAGATAATATGTCTGTGACTACAATGAACATCTTTAGGCCAGGGATCTTGAATGCCTGACTTGTATTTTCTTCTACCTGTCTCATAATGGATACTCTCTAGAAATTTCTCAACCCCAACACGTCTAAAATGAATCCAGTGAATTCTGCCACCATCTCTTGCACTGAGCACTTGAAACACTGGCAGTTAGCACTCTCGGTTTGAATTACTCTTGAGAGTAACTCATTAGACCTTCAACAAAAGAGCACCTTAAATTATTAGACACTTGTTTTCAAGTCAGTGAGTATGTTGGCAAGGAGGGTTGCAAGGAGGACCTCCAAATAAGTCTTGTTGTTAAATAGGAGTATTTAACACTCCACCGCTGATATTTCTGTCAGACCATTCTTAACAGAAGTGAAAAAGTACTGACGGTTAGCCAAAAAATAAACATGTGCTATTGTGATGATTAATTTTGTCTATGTTTCTATGACAGAGTTCTTGGATGAGATTAACATTCAGATTGGTAGACTGGAGACTGAGTAAAAAGCAGGCATCATCCGGTTGGGTGGTCTGAGTAAAATATAATAACGCTCTTCTACCTGGTTAAGACAGAATTCTTCCTGCTTAGTGACCTCAGAAGGAGGCATCAAGGTTTTTCATCGCTTCCAGACGCAAATTGGAACATCAGCGGTACCAGGGTCTTAACCTACCGGCCTTCGGCAGAGAACTAAACCCTAAGCTTTCCGGGGTTTCAGGTGTTCCGGCTTGCCCAGAGCTGAACTTGGGTCTCACGCATCACCAGCCTGCCCATTGAGCTTGCAGCTCTTGGACCGTGCCGCTAATCCCTATCTACGTGAGCCGTCTCCTGAGAAGCACCCTTCCTCCCGATTGTTTCTCCAACACGGCCAACAAACTCCGGCTTCAGGACCTTTGCCCTCGCTGTCACCTCCACCTGCTGAACTCACGCTCCAAAAGGCTACACGGATCTTTTTATCTGCTTTAAATTTCCACAAAGGTCGGCGAGCCCTAGTGCTACGTTTTAAGCTGCACGCAATAGAAGAAAAGCAGCAAAGGGCTGTACCGTTAACTACAGTCTCATCTGCATCAAAGGCCGCAGCATCGACTCCTCCCTCCTTGGACCCTGCCCTCACCACGCACGGCCACCAGGAACGCGCAGGCTTCTCTCCAGCCGCGGGGATGTAGCTGTTCCCCCGCGTTCCAGGTAGTGGCTCCACCGCAGCCCCGGACCCGCTCAGCACTCACCCAGCCACGGGCTGCAGCCGGAGACCCACGTTCTCCAACACCCAGCAGCGCTTCGCCGACCGTGCGCGCTCCCTCCCCGTCGCACTTTCGTTCCCGCTCTAGGAATGCGGGAGGACCTTGGCTCGATGGTGTGCTGTACCGACCTGCAGAGGGGGCTAAGGCGGGCCACGTTTGTCTGGGGAGGGCGTGGGCAATGCCAGCTTAGGCTGTGTTAATGCATTTTAAAATAGACATTT